AAAGGAACTATCACCGTGGAATGGGAGAATATACTCACCAGCTATTCAACAGATAAAGGATTAATATCCAGATTATACAAAGATTAAAAGAAAGGCAGCAAGACAACAAACAATCCAATTAAATGGGCAAGTGAACTGAACAGTTCTCCCAGGAAGAAATACAAATGTCTAATAGATCCATGAAGAAAAATAAAGGAAATGCAAGTTAAAACCACACAAAGATTCCATCTCATTCCAGTCTGAATGGCATCTATCAAGAAAACAAAAACAACAAATGTAGGTGAGGATATTGAAGGAGGAGTTGTTGGTGTGAATATAAACTAGGGTAACCACTATAGAAATCAATATTGAGATTCCTCAGAAGACTAAAAATAGGCCTTCCTTATGACCCTATCATACCCTATTCAGTGTATTGCCAAAGAAAAATAATACCAGCATTATTGTAGCATTGTTCACAAATAGCTGAAAGTTGACATCATCTAAGATGCTTAACAACAGAAGAATAGATAAAGATGTGTGTGTGTGTGTGTGTGTGTGTGTGTGTGTGTATCACATCTTTATTTATAGTATATATTATGTAATGAAATATATAATGGGGGGAGATGGGAGGGCAGGGATGATAAGGGGAAACAAAAGAGGAGGCTACAATGCTTGATAAGAAATGTACTCATTACCTTGCTCATGTAATTGTAACCCCTCTGAATGGTATTTTCACAATAAAAAACTTATTAATAAAAAAAGAATAAATGAGATGTAGAACTAAAAAAAAGAAATATATAATGGAATATTACACGGATATAAAAATGAAATCATATCATTTGTGGGGAAAAATGGATGAAATTGGAGAACATCATGTTGAGCAAGACAAGCTCAAAAACAAAATATTGTATGTTTTCACTCATATGTGGAAGCTAGACCTACAAGACATATTCATGGGCATGTACATATGATATATTCATATGTATAATTATATATATGGAAAAACATAGAACATGAATCTAACTAAGGGACTACTTTGGAGGAGAAGGGAACAAAATAGAAGATGAAATCCGTTGAAATAGTTTTGGAAAGGGGAAAAAAAGAGTAATGAGAGAGGCCTGATTAGACTATAATAGTAATGTGTGAAAATATAACAGTGAAATCTACTCCCCTCCCAACACTCCTTTATACATGTAAGCTAAATAAAAAGCACCATTGGGTTGGGTGCTGGTGGCTCACACCTGTAATCCTATTACTCAGGAGTCTGAGATCCAGATGATCAGTTTGAAGCCAGTCCAGAAAAATGTTCACAAGACTCTGTCTCCAAAATAACCAGCATAAAACTTGACAGGAGGTGTGGTTCAAATGGTAGAACACCAAACAAGCAAGCATGAAGCCCCAAGATCAACCCCGAAACTGGCAAAAAAAAAGGAAGATACTATAGAGATGCCGAGTACTGGGCTTTGACCTCAGAGCCTGATGCTCTCACTTAGCTCTTTGACTCAGGCTGACACTTTATTTCTTGAGCCATACTTCTACTTCCAGATTTTTGCTGATTAATTAGAGATAAGCGTCTAAAGGATTTATTTGCCTGGGCTGACTTTGAATTAAGAACTTTGGCTAGGTACCAATGGCTTACACCTGTAATCGCAATTGCTTAAGAGGATGGAATCTAAAAAACAAAACAAAACAAAAAATCTATTATAAGGTTATGCACAAAGAGATTACAGTTCTATATGACGGGTAATGAGTACATTTCTTTTTGGACAGTGTCACCTTTCAAGAGGCTGAAATCTTGGTAACAGTTTGAGGCTAGCCCAAGAAGAAAAGTTTGTTAGACTCTATTTCTAACATAACCAGTGGAAAGCATGGCTGGATACATGGTTCAAGTGGTAGAATTCTGGCCTAGCAAGCATAAGGTCCTAAATTCAAACCCCAATATAACCAAAACAACAACAATAACAACAACAAAACTTTGTCTAAAAGCATAACATCAAGCTGGTTCATTGGCTATAACTGCAATCCTTACTACTTAGTAACCTGAGACCTGGAGGATTGTGGTTTGAAGCCAACCAGGACAGAAAAGTATATAAGACTCCATTTTAACGTAATTGGCAAAATGCTGAATTGGATGTGTGGCTCAAGTGGTAGAGCATCAGCCATGAGCAAGAAAGCTGACCAAGAGTACAAGTTCCTGAGTTCAGTCCTGGCATTAGCACATATACACAAGAAAAGTATAACATTGAGATATGAAAACATAAGCCCTGAATTGAGAGAGGCTACTTATAACACTTATAACTGAAAAATAGATTAGTGTCTAGAATCTATGAAGACCTATAAGTCACTAACAAAGGAAGGGATTCAGAGTCAGGCCAACAGAAAACAAACAAACCACATGAATAAGTAGGTCATAGGAAAAAAACCCATAATGAACAGATGTCCAGTCTTACTAGTTATTAGGGAAATACAAATTTAAATCACAGCATACTATCATTCTATACATTTGATTAGCAAAAATGAAGGATTAGCCCGGCATTGGTGCTCATGCCTATAATCCTAGCTACTCAGGAGGCTGAGATCCTAGGATCACGGTTCAAAGCCAGCCCAGGCAGGAAAGTCCATGAGAATCTTATCTCCAATAAAAACCACCAGTAACTGGAAGTGGCGCTGTGGCTCAAGTGGTAGAGCGCTCTCGTTGAGCTGAAGAGCTGAGGGACAGTGCCCAGGTCCAGAGTGCAAGCCCCATAACTGACCCCTCCCCAAAAAAGGACTATAATACTACAAATTTGGTGTAGATATGGACAAGGTATATCCTTATGCCTATACTGCTGGTATATCAACTGTTAACAACCATTGTGGAAAAACAATTGGCACTGTTTTATAAAATTGAATATTGACATGCCTTTGTTGTATATAGCTCTAGTTATCTCTAGAGCATTCCTTAAATATAAACATCATTCTGTCCAAAGTAACAGAAACAAAACAGAAAAACAGAAATGTTTGTCATCAGGACATAAGTTGTAGGTGCACAGATCGACATGGATGAATCTTAGAAAGATAGTACATAAAATAAAGACAAGTCTTGGAGTATTAAACAATGTAATATCATGTTTACAAATGCTCAAAACAGGTTAAAATAATATTTCTTTTCTTTTCTTTTCTTTTGTGCCAGTTCTGGGGCTTGAATATAGGGTCTGAATGCTATCCCTGAGCTTTTTTTTTTTTTTTTTCCTCAAGGCTAGCACTCTACTACTCTGCCACTTCTGGTTTTGTGGTTGATTGGACATAAGAGTTTCAGAAACTTTCCTGCCTGGGCTGGAACCATGATTCTCAGATCTCAGCCTCCTGAATTAGGATTATAGGCATGATGTACAAGTGCTGGGCTAAAAATAATATTTTAAAGAATGTAAATTAATGCAAAACTGCTATTTTAAAATAAGGAAATAAAGATCAAAAGGGAAATAAACCCAAATTTAAGTAAAAGTCCCCCTCCCCCACCAATGGAGGGCAGGTTGATAGGGAAGGCATGTCAGCTGGTGCTGATTATATCCCAGTGGTTACAGTGGTAGGGGGTCAGGGGGTTCACCATATTATGCTTCTTAATCTATACCAGCTCTTTCAGTCTTGACACCACTGACATTTTGTGCTGGAGAAGTCTTTGCTTGGGAGCTGTCTTTCACATTACAAGATGTTGAACAGCATCCCTTATCTCTCTCTCCAGTAGTGTCAGCGACACTCCCTCCTGCTCCTCAGCCATGACAATGAAAAATGTCTCCAGACATTGCAAAATGTCCCCTGGGGAGCAAAACTGCCCCTGGTTGAGAATCATGGATCTACCTACATAGTATATATGTGCTTGAACATTTGAAATATTCTGCAATAAAACAATGTTCAAAATTGATAGGTAGAAGTTTCACTCTGTCAGTGAAACACAACCAGGAAGACATCATTAAGAGCTGAGCCTCCCTGAGTCTGCTGAAAGCCTTTGATGTGAGCCCGCAGAACTGGGAGAGCTGACAGCTTCAGGGGATTTTGACTAGCAGGTGATATTTCTAGAAATGATATCTAGTACCAGAAATCTATGACTCATAAACACTGGAGGAACATTTTTGCAACCTTTCTCAATTCTTTACAAAATCTAAAAGCTTAGGTTTGCCTTTCAGAGCACTGTTTAATTCTTTTATTTTTTTAAGGAAAAAATCTATTATTGACTGATCGATCGATTGATTGATTGATTGACTGATTGTGTGTGTGAGTGTGTGTGTGTGTGTGTGTGTGTGTGTGTGTGTGTGTGTGTGTGTGTGTGTGTGGTGGAGAGGGAGTCCTGGGACTCAGGACCTACCACTATCCCTGAGCCTTTTTTTTTTTGCTAAACATTAACATCCTACCACTTGAGCCACAGCTCCACTTCCAGCTTTTTGAGTAGTTAATTTGAATGAGAGTCTCATAGGCTTTCCTGCTTGGGCTGGTTTTGAAGCATGATCCTCAGATCTCAGCCTCCTGAGTAGCTAAGATTACACGTATGAGCCACTACCTCATTATGGGTCATTTTAAAAAAATGAGTCCATGTTTAAATTCCTTCTAAAGCCTTAAGAGACATCCATGTATTATATTAACTTAGAGGCACTGGCTACTGAACTCATTCACATGTCTAGCTGATTGTGATAGCTCCAGTGTGTTGTCTCCATTGGTTGTTCTCAATGACAAGTACCTGCGATGCCACATTCACGGCGATGGCCCATTAACCCAAGTGCCTCCTCAGCTATGGGTTCTGACACTTGACTACAATCTCAACTCATCTCTCAGGGGGAGAGGTTATTCCCTTCATTTTTTAAAAAAATGGAGAGACAGCAATTGTGAGGCTATATGACATTTTCAAGATAACAGAATCCATGGTATTTATTAGAAATAGAATTGGCATGATAGCTGGGTGCCGGTGGCTCACGCTTGTAATCCTAGCTACTCAGGAGGCTGAGATCTGAGAATCACCGTTCAAAGCTCTCTTTGGTATTATCTCTTACCATATGTCCAGCTCGGAGGAATATTCAGTGGCTCCCAGCAAAGCATCAGGAGGCCGGTACCAGAGGGTTACAACTTCTGAAGAGTATGTCTGGCTAGGAATGGACTTGGCCCGAGCAAGACCTGCCCAGAGGAAAAAGCATAGACCCCATTGTCTTGGGCCTTCCCAGGAACACATAATGCCCTATACCAGGGAAAGTATAAGTGGGAGAGCAAGCAACATTTAAACACGACACATATTTAAGGTGTTTCTATGAAAACCACTGTATATCTTGATCCTTGGACATCATTATATTAAGAGTATATCTGAACATTTGGCTTGTTTTGTAGCTAGATATGCCAGACAAGTGTGGTCAGGTGACTACATTCTTGCTTACATAGCATGAACAGAGTGACATGTGAACTTCTGGGTCAAGTGCTTAATGGAGGGGTTAAATATTCTGCATCTGTTTTCTCCTTTCTCAGAGCTGTGATGAGCAGGAAGAGACAACCTCCTTCAGCCACAGTATGACCATTTGACATCTGCCCTACAAGGAAGGCACTAGACATATAATGATAAACAAAAGTAGACTTCAGCTGTCTCATAATGCTTATAGTCTAAGTGAAGGGGGAAAATCAGTTATATTCAGCAATATCTATATCTCTCTATCCATCTAAATACACATATGCATACATGTATGTGTGTGCATTTGGGTAAATAGAATTATAAACTTTAAGTGTTAAAGTAGAGAGATACAGTGATAGGGAAATGTACACCATTGTATTGGTGGGAATACAGGCAAGCTTCCATACTTAGGTGAGCAGGAATGAGCTTTCATTCTTGCAGGAGACTCTAATATGGTCTGGTGTTAAGTTCTTTTTCCTCCTTGATCCAGTCTGAGAATTTGTAATATCACTCAGATGAAGGGAAACCTACTAAGTACCCATCTGTTTTCCAAATGTCTCTATATCAAAAGTGGACATGGCTTTGGCCATCTGGCTAGACTGGCAGCTGATGGAATCCTGAGAAGTTACCAAGCTCTCCCTCCTTCTTGCCTCATGTTTCCTGTAGGGTAGCTTGATATCCTCACAAAGCATCATATTCCCAGGCCCCCAGTTTTCAAAGGCCAGGCCTCGTCAATACTTTAGACAAGTGTACACAAAAGGATCATTGTTCACCAGCCAGAAGGCGACTTGAGGAGTAACTTACCGAAATCAGCCAGTTTGAGCTCTCCCAGGTGACTGATGAGCAAGTTCTGAGGTTTCAGGTCCCTGTGAAGAACGTGTTGGTGGTGGATGTATGCCAGGCCCCGCAAAAGTTGAAACATGAAAAGCTGGAAGGAATGAACATTACTGAAGGACATTCGAGCTCCTATGTGTTGATTTCTCCTCTAAATCAAAAACAGTCATCTGAAAGAATATAGTGAAAGTGTCTCTTGAGAGACGAAAGGAAAAAAAATTCACATTTGTTCAGAGGGAGGAAAAAGGACAAAGAAAATTAAGTAACTGGACTATATCTTAAACAAGGGATTCTGGCTTTTCCTGACATCTCGTTTCCTTGATACTGAATTACCCTTCCTTAAAAATCTGAAGTGGAACTTTGAAGTTTCCTGGGAACACTAGTTCTTGATTTAGATGTGAAAGATACAATTTTTTCCCTACTGATGATCTTGGCATATAAGATCAAAGTTGACCTGGAAATGATATTCTAAAGTTTGTAACAGCTTAAGTTTTCTAGACTTTCTGATAGGAAGTCCTTTTAAAAGCGCAATACAAGGAAACTCAAGTAGGAAATATATCTTTAGATGGTGTTGGGAAATAAAACCATCATTATCTTTATAAGCCTTTTTTTTTCCATTCAACTGTGCCTGGGCACAGTTCCTGAACTTTTGTGCTCCAGCTAGTGCTCTACCACTTGAGCCACAGCTCTGCTTTTGGCTTTTTGATGGTTAATAGGAGATAGGAGTGTCGTGGACCTTCCTGCTGTGGCTTGTTTTTAACTGCAATCCTCAGATCTCAGACTCCTAAATAGCTAGAATTAGAGGCTTGAGCTACAACACCAGGCTTATCAACCTATTTTTAAGCCCTTAAATTCAAAGTTAAAAACAGAGACATATACAGTATAGATGAAGAGGAATTAAAGGCCAAAAGATATGAGACCCTCTCCAAAATATAAAATAATAAAATAAAATTATAATAATAAAAAGTAAGATGAAGAAAGAAGAGTGTGATTGTAAAGGGTACATTCTGGCCCTTGATTTTAAAATGTCTCATGTGATGATGAAACTCCAAAACCAAACATATCACCAGGTTTCCATCAACACTGAAGCTTCAGGATGAAAGAATAGGTAGGGCTCTTGCTATTTTCCAGAGCCCTTGGTAGTGGAGACTTCAGACACCTACTTATGCCAACTGAGAACATGTTCTGGCAGTTTAGAGAAGAAAGAGTCAGGCTTGCATTCCGGGGGTCACAGGCAAAATGGCAGAGGAGAGCCATGAGGATAAATCCATTTTTCCCCCCATAGCATCTTGGAAACTATAAACTTCAGAGCTGCTTAGGAATAGAATTAACCCTAACAAATGATATAGAGGCATGGGAGTGAAGCTCTAAGGAGTTTACCTGCTACACACAGCATACCTGCAGATGACTATGGAAGTTCCATGCTCCCACCTCAAGTACAAAGTTATTTAAAAATGATTGAGTCAGCTGCCAGTGGCGCATGCCTGTAATCCTAGCTACTCAGGAGGCTGAAGTCTGAGAATCATTGTTTGAAGTCAGTCTCAGCAGAAAAATGTGTGAGACTTCATCTCCAATGAACCAGCAACATGCCAGACTAGAGCAAGAAGGCTGAATGAGAGCCTGAGACTAGGAATTCAAGTCCTGGTACCCACAAAAAATAAAATAAATAAATAAAATTTAAAACATCAGAAATTTCTTAGGACTTCTTCAAATGTTCACTGATCCTATGAGTCTTCCTAACATTTTTGTCTTCTGAGATTTCCAACACACACACATACATACACACACTATTCATTTAACCACTCACTAAAACACTAAGCAACCAAAGCACAAAATTCTTATATAGCATTTAAGCCTCTCAGTTTGTTAAAAATATACATACAAATGTTAGAAAATCTAAAGAACCAATTTAAACTCCAGCCAAAAGAAAAGATCCCATAGTATATCCTTAAAAATATGTTCCAATGAGAAGACACTAAGGAAAGAGGAAGAAAAGGGCAAGTGAGAGCAGGGATTAGGAAGCCAGTGACCAGGGAAGACTACAGCTTTGGAAGGTAATTTGTCCTCAATTTATAGATGAAAAATCAGGGTTTAAGAAAACTAAAAACATGTCAAGTATGATGGAACGTGCCTATAATACTAGCATTTGGGAGGTTGACTCAGCCTGGGCTATGTAGTTAAACAGACAAGAAGGAGGGAATGAGCTGGCTAAGTCAGAGAGAGCTTCTCAGTCCGTCAGCTTGAAATGCCTTTCATGCCCCAAAAGTCAGCAATTCTAATTAGCCACACCTTCCTGCTGCCCAGTCCCTCTCCTCTCTGCCTCTTCCAGTATTTGTAAGCAAGAGGCCCTGCGGTGTTAAGGTATGTATCTCACAGTCACAATTGCACGCCATGCAGACTAAACTCACCACCCACTCACTCTGATCCCATGACCTGGGATCTTCCTTCATCAATTCCCCCATCATAATACAACCAAATCCTGGGGCATTTTCTCACTCAACTTAAGTCGGATGGTGGGCAGACTCTTTCCAGGTTTCCCAGACCCCAGGGATTAGAGCAGCTTCCAACACAATCAGTAGGAACAGAACAATTCAACTGAGCTAATGCCATCTGGGCTAGGAGTCTTTCAAAAACTCAATTTATTGTTAGGTTCCAGTGGCTCCTGCCTGTAATTCCAGCTACTTGGGAGGTTAAGATTTGAGGATTGTGTTTTAAAGCCAGTCCAAGCAGGAAAGTCCATGAGAACTCTTACCTCCAATTAATCACCAAAAAGCCAAAAGTGGAGCTGTAGCTCAAGTGATAGAGTACTAGCTTTGAGCAAAAAAGCTCAGAGATGGTGGTCAAGCATGAGTTTAGCCTCAGGTCTGGCGCGTGCTAGCGCGTGCACGCACACACACACACAACCAGAACCCATTCGCAGTCAGCCAACCCAATTCAGAAAAGCCCAAATCCTTCCATTCACCAAGGGCCCTTGGACTTGTTCTATTAGAAACCAGAAACAGGTTTAATTCACTTCATCTGCCTTTCTTTGTCATTTTTCAAAATAAGTCTCTAGCTATTGCTTTGTCTTCTAGAGAACCCATCTTCATCCTGAGCTGCATTTCTTCTTTTTGAACTAGTTTCTCTTTTCTTTCTCAAATCTTTTCACTCTTCCTTCTCCATTACTCAATCATGGTTTAAAACTCTCCACAGTTAAATTCTAGCACACTCCTTTCTAGTTCCTCTCAATTGAGACATGACTTAACTGCTTCTCTCTGCATTCTTAAGTGAATGCTACTTCTCCCATAGTTTCTTCATTAGTCTCAATCACTGAACAGTAGAATGAGCTGCCTTTCCTTCTCCAATACCACTTCAATCCCATCACTCTCCAACCTGAGTTCTGGGTGTCCCTTAGATATCCATGCCATCCAGCTACATCTTCCTCCACCCCTGTTCTGGTTGTCATCTACTCATCTGCTTGTCACTACCTTTCACTGACGACTGTATTTGGGCCACAGCTGTTTCTCACAAAACCAGTGCCCTTGAGACTAAGTCTAGCCAAACTCCTCAGCTTCTATGATCTGCTTCTTCAGTTCTCTTCATCCACTAAGTCCTATGATCATATGCTAAATCTTTCCATCCTGTGGAAATGTTTGTCCTCTGAAATCCAAGTTCACCTTCTCATGGAAAGTGTTTCTGCCTCTGCAGTAATCATTTCATTCACATTTTTTAAATTTTTTTTTTGGGGGGGGGTCCGGTCGTGGGCCTGAATTCTGGGCCTGGGCGCTGTCCCTCAGCTCTTCAGCTCAAGGCTAGCGCTCTACCACTTGAGCCATGGTGCCACTTCCACCTTTTTTTTTTTCTGTTTATGTGGTGCTGAGGAATTGAACCCATGCATGCAAGGCAAGCCGCACTACCACTGAGCCACCTTCCCAGCCCGTCATTCACATTTTTTAAAACCATGGTCACCAATGCCTTTTGCTACAAAATCCAAGAGATGTCTCTAATTTCTATATGTGCTAGTGTTAGAAACTTTTCTTTCCCACATTCTTCTGATTTTTTTTCTCCTAACCCCTCTGATTTTCTTTTTATAGGTTCTACTTCTAACACAGATATATAATACATTGCTGTGCTTTAGGGTCCCTTCCTTGACTTTCTTTTTTTTTTTTTTTCCCCCGCTGGTCGTGGACCTGAACTCTGGGCCTGGGTGCTGTCCCTCAGCTCTTCAGCTCAAGGCTAGCGCTCTACCGCTTGAGCCACAGCAACACTTCCGGCTTTTTCTGTTTATGTGGTGCTGAGGAATCGAACCCAGGGCCTCATGCATGCAAGGCAAGCGCTCTACCACTGAGCCACCTTCCCAGCCCCCTTGCTTGACTTTCTTCTCTTATTCTTCTGCCACTCTCTCCTAGTCATCTTACTCCCATACATGGCCACAGTGAACAACTGTATTCTATTCATCTCAAAGTCTTAACTCTAACTTAGATTTCTATTTTGATCTTAAGTCCTACATAGTCTGAAGGTCACCTGAACATCCCATAATCATCTCACTCAGCATGTCCAAAACATAATTGACTATAAATATCCAAAATCCATTTTCTTCCCATTCTTCCATCTCAGTGAATGCACAAACCATTCATCTTACCACTCAAAGCCAAAGAAATTTGTGCTGACTTTTCCTTTACCTGCCCATTCTGGGTAATTGATATCTATCCCTTTTTCTTTCATCTCACATTTGTATCACTGCTGTTCTTATCAGCCTTACTGTCAAGGTTAGAACAAGCATTCAGGGAATAAGTAGCAGGATGTACTAGGAGAGTTAGAGCCTGGGGATATAGCTGGTTAAGAAAAAAAAAAAAAAGGCATATGGTAGGTCAGTGGAGTGTATTTTCGTTTCCAAAAAAGCATTTTTTCTCTTTCCAGTCAAAAAAATACCAAAAAAAACCCACCCACCTATTTTCCTTTCATTGAGATGGGGCCTTGCTAACTTCCTGACTGGGTTGCCTTGAACCATGATCCTTTTCATCTTTGTAGTTGATAATCTAGACATGAGCCACTTCACCATACATTTTTGTTTGCTTTGAGACAGAGTCTCACTACATAACTTAATCTGGCCTTAAGCTTACCACTGTGTAGCCCCGGTTACCTGGGACTCATCATCCTCTTGTCTCAGTTCCATCCAGAGTGCTGGGATTGCAAGCATGAGCTATGACACCAACAGCTAGCATTAACACTGCTAATTCTAAACTCTAGGGTTACTGAATTAATTTTAGTTTTTGGAATATACCAGTCCTTTTCTGAAATTCACTCAGCTCTATGGGCCTTGAGCTCATACAGCTTTCTTACTTATGACTGCTACTCTAGCACTTGAACCCTGCCTCCAGCCAGCATTTTGCTGGTTATTTTGGAAAGGGAATTCCATGGACTTTTCTTCCTGGGATGGCTTGATAGTTTTTACCCCTCATTTGAAATTCGTCAAAAATATCCTATAATAGCATTCCTGTATATTTTTTTCTCTTGGCTTTACAATAAGTCCCTTGTGCAGGAATTACGTGTTCTCTATCTTTTTTTAAAAATCCTTCTCTGCATTTCCTGGTCACTCAAGACTGATAGGTCTTTCTCAGTTACTCTTTCTGCATCTGTTCTATTGACTCAAAATCTCTGATATCTTTGCACGTACACACTCTCTTCACTTTCTACCTCAGGTTAAACTGTCTTCACATTCTACCTTGGGTTAGTGTAGGGACAGGATCATCACTTTAATTCTTCTTGACAAGCTCTTCATCTTTTTTACTCAACTATTTTTTTCCCATATGTCTGATGACCTCCACTTCTGAATCAATCCACATGCCCATCTCCTTCCATTCTTTGCTCAAATTATTAAACACTGCCTTTAAAAAAGAAAAAGAAAATCCCATAGCTATGTGCTGGTGGTTCATACTTGTAATTCTAGCTACTACAGAGGCTGAGGTCTGAGGAGTATAGTTTGAAGCCAGCCCTGACAGGAAAGTCCATGATACTCTTATCTCTAATAAATTACCAAAAAAGCCAGAAGTGGAGCTGTGGTTCAAGTGGTAGACCACTAGCCTTAAGCATAAAAGCTCAAGGACAGGGTCCAGGCTCTGAGCTCAAGCACCAGGACTGGCACAAACAAACAAACAATCATGATCATGCATATGATATAATGATTTTTCATTCTTACCAGGGTCCTTAACATTGCCTTCCTGCTTTCCCTGGCTAGTTCTGTCTTCCATTTTCTCCATAGCTATTTAATTTTTTTGTACTCTCCTTAAGTTCTTGCCCTCAAACTTTCTTTCTAACCTGTACCTCCAAGACTGCATTTAGAACCCTTTACTATGTATTCCTGTTATATTTCTACTTAACATGGCCATCTTACTTTACATTTTCCTGCTATCTTACAAGTCCATATATCTTATAGCTTTTTATGTCACTGAGATGAAGGAACACAACTTTTTCATTATTGAAACCCTAGAACTCAATATAGCACTAAGTACTCAATAAATATTTCTTGGATGAATTAATAAATAAATTCATAAGTAAATATTTGTTAAATGAATAATTACATCATATATGAATCTCAGAGGGTTATTTTAGGAATCAATTAATGGCAATAAAACCAGAGGGAATGAAAAGCATGAAATATAAATGGTTTTGAAAATTCATAGCAGATGTATCATTACAGCTAGTTAAGCATTTATTATTTCTATTCTAATGACTGGGAGAATGGAATTTAGTCCCATATGTATAACAGGAGCAGCTAGAATAAGCAATGCAAATTTTATCATGGACGTCAACAGTCTGCAATGAAGAAGGAATTCATTTTAAAAGTGCCTAGCTTCATGTTTTTCATTTTACTTACTTATTTATTTATTACTTATTTATTTTTGTTGTTGGTCATGGGTTTGAACTCAGGGCCAGAGCACGGTTCCTGAGCTCTTTTGCTCAGGGACTACCATTTTGAGCCTCAGCTCCACCTTTTTTTCTAGTGGTTAATTGAGACTCAAGTGGTACAGTGGCTCAAGTGGTAGAGCACTAGTCTTGAGCTTAAGAGCTGAAGGACAGTGTTCAGGCCCAGAGTTCAAACCCCATGACTGACATACACACAAAAAAAGTCTCATGGACTTTCCTGCCAGGCCTTGCTTTGAACTGTGATCCTCAGATATTAGCCTCCTGAGTAGCTAGGATTACAGGCATGAGCCACCAGCACCCAGGCTGTCGTTCATTTTTAATAGAATTGTTTTTATTGCTTTATATGTCTAAAGATGTATGTATGCTGGCAATGATTGACAGGGTTAGGCTGCCTAGAAAATAGCTAGACATTGCCCCATAATTCAAGGAACTCTTTAAAAAAATTATTTAGAGTATCATTAGTGTCATAGGTCTTTGCTTTGTGGTGGCAGTCTGTTTCAAAATTCTCCTGTGGTGAAGATAGGCTAGAAGAAAGCCTATCCTTAAAGTACTTACCCTAACATTGTGAGGATGAAGCCCTCCTGGATGCTGAGACATATACTGTGCCAGATCCGTGTGCTAAACAAAGCAGCAGAGAAAGACAATACAGAGCAAGGTTAGTGGTGCTTGGACAGGGTCCTAATGCAAAACATAGATCTGACTGTCAAGAGATAACCAAGTTATGGGTTTAATTTAGAGTAAGATATAAAAGGAGGATAACCAGGTTCTCGAAGCCCTGCTGTCAAGGTCAGACAGTGTGTTTTCCTAGCTGGTTGCTGATAGAAGGAAGCTTGGCACAAACAAGAGGCGCTCATTTCAATGACTGGCACTGAACCTGACACAGGAATTTTCTTACTCTCAAAATGTCCTTGGAGGCAAGTCAAGAGCTAAACCTTATGGGTTTTTTCCTGCTCATTTGACTCTTTTTTCTTTTCAAAGTTACAAATGAATTATTCTTTAGTGAGCTTATGTACAATTTTTATATATATTATATATATGTTATATATAATATTTTGTATATTATATATATGTTAAGTTCTGCTCAGATCTGATGAACAGTAGATTTTTTTTTGTCTTTTCTTTTTTGGTACTGGGGATCGAACCCAGGACGTTGCACTTGCTAGGCAAGCGCTTTGCCACTGAGCTACATCCCAGCCCCAACACTAGATTTTTTTTTAAGTGCAAACATTTTATGTTGAAAACAAACTCAAAATCCTAGTCTATTATTGGTGGGGAAAGGGACAGCAAAAACAAAAGAAAAAAATGAGTAAAGAAACAGGACTAAAAGGTAGTTGTAAAAACAGTGTTTCTACTAATCACAATAATGAAAATTTCCATGATGCCTTCTACATTGTAATGAAAGTTTCATTATGCCATAAAATATTAACAGATTTGTTATGTAAGCACTAGGCTTTTCCTTCATGTGTAAGAAAATGCTGGAGAACTCACCATGTATTCAAAAACAAATGTCAGTGTCTCTTTGGTGTGAACTATGTCATGCAGGAGGACGATATTGGCATGCTTCAAACCCTTCAGTAGAGAAGCTAGAGAGATTAAATGATACGTTAAATCAATCACTGATAATCAAAGTGTTCTTTAAAATTATGAAGCAGGATTTATATTTCAAACATTTCAGATCAAGCCTCCTGAGTTTTTACAGCTGGAAATAAATCTCTTTGGAAATAAATAAATGGTAGAGGGGCTTCATTATTTTTTAAATGGTGAATCACTGCATTTATGCAACTTATTATTCTTACAGGCTAGAGTGGTTGCAAAAAAGTATGTTTCCATTTACCTAATCAATTTCATCAGAGCACTCAGAGCACTTTGTGAATGCTCCCCCCCTGGGAATCTCATTATCCCAGCTTCAGAGCTGTAAGAAAGGGACCCTGGGGGGATTACAGCCATTGGAGGAGCAGAAAGTACAGTGTTCTTCCTTCTAGAGCAGACTTTCTAACATGGAATCAGACTCAAAAAAAAAAAAATAGGAAAAAGAAAACACAAAATGGCATCAAGGTCAACAGCACCAGTGGTTGTGATTGATAAGAACATGGAGTGAAGAAACCTGATAAGAGAGGACAGGCTTTCCTAAAAGGAATGTTCCAGACCTCCATGGAAAGGAGAAAATGCAAATGTGAAAAGAGCCGGCCAAACTTGGAGAAATCCCAGAGTGAGAGTGCCAAGTGTCTCTTACCTAGTCAGAAACGGGTTTCTATGAGGTTACCCAGTAGGCAGCCAAGTATTTATTTAATTAGTTGTGCTATGATCAAATGCACAATCTTACCCTATAGATGCTAGGCAAGTGCTGAAGGCACTCTTTAAAAGGGAAAAGCCACCACAAGAGACCAATAATCAGAAAGGACTTAAAAAGGTATCTCTGGGTATTCCAGAGATAGGAAGACTTCTGGCTTTAAAAGGATGGTAGTCAAAAAATGCGTAATAAGAGCAAGGATAAGAACCACATGGTTATCTCAATAGATGCAGAAAAAACATTTGACAAGATCCAACACCCCTTTATGATGAAGGTTCTGGAAAAATTAGGAATCCATGGAACATTCCTCAATACAATAAAGGCTGCATATGACAAACCTACAGCCAGTATTATACTTAATGATGAAAAACTAAAGCCATTTCCTCTTAACTCAGGAACAAGACAAGGATGTCCACTCTCTCCACTTCTCTTCAATCTAGTATTAGAATGCCTAGCTACAGCGATAAGACAAGATGCAGACATAAAGGGGATCCAAATAGGGAAAGAAGAAATAAAACTCTCCCTCTTTGCAGATGACATGATTTTGTATTTAAAGAATCCCATAAGCCGGGCGCCGGTGGCTCACGCCTGTAATCCTAGCTACTCAGGAGGCTGAGATCTGAGGATCGCGGTTCAAAGCCAGCCTGGGCAGGAAAGTCCGTGAAACTCTTATCTCCAATAAACCACTAGAAAACCGGAAGTGGCGCTGTAGCTCAAGTGGTAGAGCGCTCGCCTTGAGCTGAAGAGCTGAGGGACAGCGCCCAGGCCAGAGTTCAAGCCCCACAACCAAAAAAAAAAAAAAAAGAATCCCATAGACTCCACTCCCAAATTACTCAAGCTGATTCAAAACTTTGGCAAAGTAGCAGGGTATAAAATTAACCCTCAAAAATCAATGGCTTTTCTCTATGCCAACAATGAGAAAAGTATGGCTGAAATTAGGAAAGCAACTCCATTCGTAATAGCCCCACAAAAAAATAAAAGACCTAGGAATTAACTTAACCAAAGAAGTGAAGGACCTCTATGATGAAAACTTTAAAAACTTGAAAAAGGAAATCAAAACAGAACTTAGAAAGTGGCAAAAACTCCCATGCTCCTGGATTGGAAAGATCAACATTGTGAAAATGGCAATACTTCCCAAGGCTGTCTACAAATTCAATGCGATACCTATCAAAATTCCAACCTCATTCTTCAAGGAAATAGAAGAGGCAATCCAAAAATTCATATGGAACAATAAAAGACCCTGAATAGCAAAAATGATCCTCAACAGAAAGAACACTGCTGGAGGAATATCAATACCAAATTTCAAACTCTACTATAAAGCCATAGTAATCAAAACTGCTTGGTACTGGCACAAGAACAGACCTCAGGACCAATGGAATAGAATTGAAATCCCACAAATGAACCTACAGACCTATAGCCATCTAATCTTGGATAAGGGAGCTAAAAAAGAATAGAATGGAAGAAAGACAGCCTCTTCAGTAAATGGTGCTGGCAAAATTGGTTAACTACTTGTAGAAAACTAAAGCTAGATCCTTATATATCACCCTGCACCAGAAACAACTCCAAATGGATCAAAGACCTCAGAGTCAAAGCAGACACTCTGAAAACATTACAGGATGGAATAGGAGAAACCCTAGGTCTCCTTGGCACAGGCCCAAATTTTCTTAAAAGAGACCCAGAAACACAACAAATCAAAGAAAGGTTGGACAAATGGGATTGCATGAAATTGCAGAGCTTCTGCATGGCAAAGGACATAGCTAGCAAGATCAATAGAAAGCACACGGATTGGGAGAAGATCTTCACTAGCCATGCAATGGACAAGGGTCTCATATCTAAAATATACCTGGAACTCAAAAAATTAAATCCCCCAAAAACAAATCTTCAAAGAAACAACTGCCCAATAAATAAGTTGACTAAAGACAAAGAGAAACTTCTCTGAAGAGGAAAGAAGGATGGCCAATAGACACATGAAGAAATGCTCAACCTCCCTAGCCATAAAAGAAATGCAAATCAAAACAACATTGAGATACCATCTCACTCCAGTTAGAATGGCTAAAATCAAGAACTCTAATAACAACAGATGCTGGAGGGGATGTGGACAGAAGGAAACCTTACTGCGTTGTTGGTGAGAGTGTAAACTTGTTCAACTACTTTGGAAAGCAGTATGCAGGTTCCTCAAAAGACTCCATATAGAGCTCCCCTATGACCCAGCAATCCCACTTTTGGGCATTTACCCAAATGTTCACAAACAAGATCACACTAAAGCTACCAGCACGACTATGTTTATTGCAGCATTATTTATTATAGCTAAGATATAGAACCAACCCAGATGCCCCTCAGTAGATGAATGGATCAAGAAAATGTGGTATATATACACAATGGAATTCTATGCCTCCATCAGAAAGAATGACATTGCCCCATTTGTTAGGAAATGGAAAGGCTTGGAAAAAATTATATTAAGTGGGGCTGGGAAGGTGGCTCAGTGGTAGAGCATTTGCCTTGCATGCATGAGGCCCTGGGTTCGATTCCTCAGTACCACATAAGCAAAAAGAAAAAAAAATTATATTAAGTGAAGTAAGCCAGGCCCAAAGAAACATAGGTCCCATACTTTCCCTTATTTGCAATATCTAGTATATGTCAGAGTCAAGCAGGTTAGATAAGTTGATGTTAGGGAAATGAATCCTAAGATATGTATTCAAAAAAAGACTTCATAGCAAAAAAAATGCGTAATAAGGAAATCAGCTCAGGTCATGAACAAATAATGCCTTTAAATTTTAAAGGAAAGGAAAAGTTAAAGTATATAATAAGCCCTATAGTGTTCTGTAAGTTATGCCTATAGTTCTCCATTTTAGAAATCTCCTGCAGCAACTCTGTCCTGGTATAGAATTTCATACCATTAAAAACAAACTCAAATCATCCCTTAAGTTTAGGTATAAAATTACCTCACCCATGTTGCAATGACTCTCTGTTGCTTTGCCCTCCTGACAGTCAATATCTTTTCTACTAAGGAGAAGCTTTTCTCCAGGAACCAACCCTCCTTTTAGTCCATTCCTTTCTGGTAAGTTTAAGGCAATTCTAAAGAGTGAACATGTGAAATAGAACTGGCCAATCAGAGCATAGCACCTTGCTACCCACAGTGATTGATTCAAAAACTTAGGCTTGAGAGACCTCTATTTTGTTGGTGCTATTAGCAAAGAAGTACTTTCATTTCCACTGTGTGGGTTGTATTTGTATCCTGATTTAGGCAGGAGCTGTTAGGACCAGATTACCAATGCATAGTGAGAGCATGCCTGGGAATAAAAGTAAGGCAGAGATAGACTGAGGGTATAGCTCTATGGTACAGTGCTTTCCAAATATGCAAAGGCCATGGGTTCCGCCCTCAATGAAGAGAGGAAGGGAGGAAGGCAGGAAAGGAAGAGGGAGGGGAAGAAAATAGAAAGGAAAGGAAAGAAAGAAAGAAAAAGAATGGAAGGGAAAGAAGGAAAAAAAAAACAGTTTGGAGTAATGGAAGACATGGATTCCTAGTCTAGTGTCACTGTAATTATCAGATTTGTGAGCCAGTGAATCCTCTTTTTTAAGTAAATTTAAGCTCTTATCACCAGATGAGTTCTATCATTCTGCTAACCCTTGTTCCTAGAGTCCTTATGAGCAAAACTTACTGCTTCACTTTTGCCAATGCATCGTTTCATAAAGGTAACTGAGCAGTTTCTCAGGCATGTGGGTCGTCTCAGAACGAAGGCTATAGGGGAAGAGAAAGTGACTTTCTCTTTTGGATGCCGACACACCTCCCTGTACAATGCTCAGCCAAGAGTAAGCACTCCATTTATCAAGCATATTTATTGAGTGTCTTAAAGGAGAACTGTCTGGGGAGCCAGGAGCCCTGACATGAATCCTGGCCCTGTCACTTCCTATCTGAGTAAACTCTGGAGAGTCTCTCAACCCAAGTCTCCATTTACTCCTTTGAAAAAAAGAAAGCATCCTCCTAACTTTCCTTCATAGGGCTGAGGTAAGGATGGAATCAGACCCCACACAAAGAACCCTTGGTAAATGGAAAGTGCCTTGTATACGCAAATTGAATTAACATCTACCCCGGTCTTCTTGATCCTCCTTTCACCTTGAACCCATTAAAGGCCCACTCCTAATCTTTTTTTTATTGTCAGTTATGGGGCTTGAACTCAGAGCGTTATCCCTGAGCTTTTCTTCTCAGTGCTAGAGCTTTATTAGCCACGGTACCACTTCAGGGTTTGTTTTTTCTTTCCTGGTATTTAATTGAAAATAAGAGTCTTAGAGACT